AAACTTTTGCATGTTACGGAATTTGATTTATGTTTTTGTCATTAACATGGCTGATAATTCTATGTTTTAAAAGAAATGAGAAAAAATATTGTAAAAGAATTTTAATAAATATTTGAAAGAGCGGAAATATTTTGTATGAATTCCAATATAAATATTTCTTTGCTTCATCGTGGTGGTAAATAAGTTCGGGATATAATACTCCGGTAACCACGCTTGAGAAATATTACCAAGTGATAATATTCATTCCATATTTAGATAATTTTATAATAATGTTAAGTGATCGTTCATTAAATAAAAATCTTCGTTAAAAAGTTTTAAAAATTCAATTATTTGTTTTCAATTAAATAGAAAAATATTCAGTATACATCTGAAAATGACAAATCAGATTTAGTACAAAAATATTCACGATGATTACCATTACTTTATGCATTAGTAGTTATTGCAGAACATAGAATATCATGAGCTTCTTTACTAAATTTCTCTATATAGTATATTCCATCTAATTTATCAAAATTACTAAAAAATTATGATGAAGATTACTATCTAAATGTCTACAAACTTTTAAATATCGTGGCAATTTTACCCATTACAAAAACGATTGCAAGAAAGGTCATATTCGACATCGTGACCATTAAAATAGTGATGCACAACTGTGGACGGTCCTTATCGGGGTGATATTTTTAAACACGATTGCGAATGGTTATAGTTTATCTATGGCCCCCCAAAATTACACAATTGCGGGTACATGTTGCTAAATTTATAAATAATACTGCGATAATGTAGGAATTCTTAGAGCACCTAATTTAATTTAGTGTATTTTAATTAAATTAACTATTTAGAGCTATAATGATTATAAAAATCACCAAAATGTATTCAAATATTTAAAAACAATAAGTTTTCATTAAAGATAATAATAATATAAATGTTTTTTTTTAATTTTAAAATTAAAACTTTTAAATGTAATTGTGYAATTATATTAATATTGTGAAATTTTATGAAGTGTACAGTCAGTGTTAATAGTATTTTAATTTCATAAAACACTTATAACATTTAGATTTAGATTTTTAATTTTTTTTATGATCATAATACTGTAGAATATGGAAATATGATGACAGTGTTAATATATATCAATTATCATGATTTGTATTTGTTATGATAATAATAATTATTAAAAACATATCTAAAAAATACCATACGACAGACAGCCGTTTAAATGGATTAGTTCAGCTGAATATTCAAAATGTAATTGAAGTTAATTTAGAAGAACTGTTGGATGATTTGGCAAAATAAAAAATAAAAATTGAGTAGTAATGTAATTAGGTAATAACTATTTAATTTTGGAATTTGGATATAAAAATATTTATTATATTATTATATATCTTATTAATAAAGTTTAATAATTTTTTTTTGTTTGAACAAAACAAATAGATTAATTTAATTGTTTCAACATAATATGTTATATTTTTACAAATAATAAAGAGTAGTAAGTTTAAATTTTTTGAACCACCTCCGCCCATCATAAAAAGTTCATAGATACGCCGATAAGCGCCTGAAATTGATATCTGTTTAAATTTAAATGGCAAATGTTTATATTACAAGGGTCTCCTTTCTATATCTACTAATGACATCGCTAGAGCTATATTGATACACAGTTATCGTAAGTACTGTATAAACCAACTGTGTATTGCGTTCTAACTAATTTATTGTTAATAAGATACCACGCAGACATTTTTTGTCTCAATCTTACAAACGAACAACAAAGCAAATTTCACGTTCACGGTTATACGTATTACTATGTAATTCCTACAACTAGAGTAAATTTAAAAGCAATACAATTATAAATGTAATCTTGAAAGATTTTATTGGTATTATTATTTTTAAGCAAGTTATGAACAGGTTAAAAATGTTCAAATGTTAATGATTACAATGCGAGCTACGGCCTGTCAGACTTATGAAAGTCACACTCAAACTGACCGAATTGCACAATGTATAAAAATGTGTTCGCCGGYATAAATCCTCCACAAAATATAACGGAGGCTTTTTATTATATTTATATTTTAAAGTGAGTTATGAATATTTTTAAAATTGTTTGTATATCTTAAAATACTCATAACTCGCTTTAAAATTAAAATATAATAAACATAGATACTAATTTTACCTATAATTTTTGTAAGAGGTCAATTCACTATAAATGTTCAACTAATGGAGCTAAATTGGAATAGATTACCATACAATTTGCTATGTTACGCGTTTGTAAAACAGGGACAACACATGCGGGTGTGGCGTTCTTTGTAGAGGACGCTACACCCGCTATGTTGTCTTCATCTTACAAATGCGTAACATAGGTAGCATTGTAGCAAATTTTATGCTCAGCAGATCACGTTTAGCTCCATTAGGTTAAAATTTAGAGTAAATTGACCTCTTATAAAAATTAACGGTAACATTATTATCGAGGGCATCTCGTAGGCTTTTTATTATATTTTAATTTTGTCTCATGTGTATTTTAAAATTGTAAATTGTTTGTATATCTTAAAATACTCATAACTCACTTTAAAATTAAAATATAATAAAAAAYCTACGAGATACCCTCGATAATAATGTTACCTTTAATTTTTGTAAGAGGTCAATTTACTCCAAATTTTAAACTAACGGAGCTAAACGTGATCTGCTGAGCATTATTTTCGTCTATGTTACGTACTTGTAAGACGGAGACAACATATGCGGGTGTAGCGTCCTCTTAATATGAATAATTTGTGTACACGGCAGCATAGCGGCCGGYCGCAGTTGCTGGCCCGCCACAAGTAATATTTTAGTTTGTAATTAATAATTATTTCCTTTGTTTACATAATCACTGTTTAAAAACAAAAATATAACAAAATAGACGAAAATAATGTAAAATAATATAATGATAACAATGAAAACAGAGCCAGAAAATGGAAAATACAAGATGGTTATTTCATAACATTGGCATGCTATTGAAAAATATATTCAGCTAAGAAAGCATAGTCTATGAATTTCCTAAAAAAAATGSAAAACACATCAACTTCTGAGCCATATTTATGATAAACATATATGATGTTATTTAATTCATAGCTTTTATGTTACCAATTTATTAATTCATTTTTTGTTTAATGCACATATTGTAATTTTGTTGAAACCATTCAGTCCTCAACAGGAAAGTATGTTTGGGCAATTTAAATATACCTACAGTGATCCTCCTCTGCTATCTGTTTAAACGGAAAAAAATATATATACCTACAGTCTATTAAGAATGTTATAATATTTATTTAAAATCACTTTTGTTATTATAATAATAATTTATATTATTAGGTATGTGTCAGTAGGTGTTGTTAAAATATTCCATAAAATGTGTCTTGGCTTGTGAATGACAAACATAAAAACATTATGTTTTCTGCTTTACCAAAAATAAAACTAGGGCTTATACAAAACATAGAATACATTAATAATTAATTTCTTACTGTATTTCTTTTAATGATGCCATTTTGTTCATGTTGGCAGCATTAATAGATAATACTCGATTATCTTCTACCCATTCTTCCCATTTACTATTCCAGCCTTTGTAATGAATAAAATATTGTGCTTTACCATCATTTGCCTTCCTTCTTATTAAACATTTTGCTTCATACAGCATTGGTCCATGATAACATAACAAACTATCACCTATTAAAAAATAAATATTTACTAAAATGTAATGACAATTATTTACTCTAACTAAAACAAAACAATTTTAATTTAAAATAATTGGTATATAATATCATATTATATGTCATTCTTCTACTACTAAAGCCTGTAACATCTTGAAAACTTAATAAATGATTTAATACATTTAAAAATTAAAATATATATAAACTATATTTAATTATAATTTATTAGTACCTATTGATGTTATGCCTACAGTTTATAAGGAGGCAGTGCATATTTCATAATATACTTTTGCACAGTTGATAATTTATTTTATGGCTCATGTCAATACATCAGTTACTTTTTAATCAGTTCTTAAACCTAGCATATACAAATAAAAGTATTGGCCACTTTTAAGTCCTCTGTTAGTATTTAACAACTTTTACTGTCACAATTACACATTTACACATTTCATATTGGCCACGTTTAAGTCCTCCGTTAGTATTTAACAACTTTTATTGTCATAATTACACAATTACACATTTCATAGTATTTCATACCACACAACCCACAAAATTATGTCGGTAAACTGACAAAAATATTGATAGTGATATAATCAAAATCATATTACAATATATATTCCTTGGTAAATACATCTATGTATAATAATATGAAATAAATAATAATTATTACATCGGTCGCTATTTTATATTTGACGCATTCGACTCAAATCATTTCAGTATACTTGTTATAACTTTGAAAARAAAAATTGAAAAATTGAATTACCAATGTACGACTCAAGTGTACATATAAAATAACACTTACAGGAAATACTAATACAAAACAAATTGTTTTAATTATAATTCACAACACTGGCCCAATTGTAGTGCATTTAATAATAAGATTCAWWATGATAATTCACATATTCTACATATGTGAACAATGTTAAAAGATTGTTTAAAAATCAATTATAAAACATTAATTTTTACTGGTTTAACATAAGWCTTTTACAACATCCTTAGACCTACCCCGCAACACACTTCTATAGRGTGCACTATACACTATTGGGAAAAAGTGATCTACATACAGAGTAGAAAAAACTGATTCATCTCTCAATGATGATATATACAGGGATTGCTTTTAAAATTTAATAATTTATATTTACAGGCATRCACCTAAACAATAATAATATATAATGTAGCCAMCTAAAGTGTAACATAAGATGCATTGTTTTTTTTTCTAATGATTATTATTTCTTTCACTGTAAGTACAAATCATCTTTACTAGTTACATCAATTTATATTTTCATTAACTTACCTTCTGCAAATTTATAGTTATCTGCTGCCATTATTTTATAACTAACAAGTAACAAATATGTTGAACTATATAAGGTTGTAATTTAAAATATGTGAAAGTCAATACAGAAAACGAAGATGCAGAAATCAAACATCCAAAAAAATCAACTCTTAAGACGTAGAAAACCCTACAATAATATTATAAATTTCTCAATTTCTGTAGTTAGGGCATAGGAAATTTCGGGATGCATCCAATATTCCATTCGACATTTCAGCGTCAAAATAATATTATATTGATACAGTGATAACACTGATAAACGCGATTGGCCGTGATCTGAATCACAATGAAGATAATAATATAAACTAAATTAAAAAATAATAAATAAATWATCTTTGTATCTGTTATAACCATAATACAAATATCACTGCAATAACTGTAATTATTGTAATTTAGAAACCAAAATATTCGATAAATAATTTAAATAATAATTAAAAATTAAAAATTATTATCGTTAATGTTATCACAACCGGTATACGGACAATTGATCCCCACCAAAAAAACACTGTAATTGGACAGTTGGTCCCCAATAGTGGTGGGAATTATCGTTCCTTTCGTGGAATCGTTCCAATCGGTACAGTTCCAATWAAGTACCGATTCCAATATATTCGTTACATCAGTACAATCAGTACATTCTTTCTTTAGTTACACTTGTTACTTGTACCTACTCACATTCGTATAGTTCCTCGCGGAACGATAAAAATACTTATATTC